CTTTTGCATTTCTTGACGCACGGTGTTCTCGCGACGGCGCTTGCGCTGCATGTCCTTCTTCCGTTCCTTTTCATCCTGGATCTCCTTTTGCTGAACTTCGGCCATAACAGCACCCTCGTTGAGGACTCGGAACCTCTCGGTGCCAAGAACGGCTTGTCTTTCGAAGGATCTACCTAGATCAATGAGGAATTCGTTGCGGCGACGCTAAGCATTTGTTAGTATGGTGGGCGGATGGCTTGACTTGACACGACTCTCAAACAACCTACCTTTCGTCGCACTTCTTCTGCGCGGCTGCTTTCCACCGACCGTTTGTAACCTTTCTCCCGATACCGCTCCTGTTCCGCCTCGAAGCCAGGATCTTCAACATCGCTCTTCTCCGCGTGATCAATCTCGGCCGCAGCCCGGTTGACCTGTTCCAGGTCCACGCCGGGAGGGAAGGGTTTCCGGAGTGGTGCACGAGGAACGGGCGCAGGGTATTCCACATCGGGCTTAGCGAACCCATTGGTGGCCTGTGGTGCTCTCGGGGCATCGATGCGTTTTTCAACGTGATCGTGTTTGTTATGTATAGCTGTTGGCGTAGAGCTGTGATCCAGGTGCCGCTGTGTAAAGATGGGGGGAGCATGCGGCGTGTGAACGGAGACGGGGACCGGGAGAGGTGATGGCTTTCTCGCAGGCTGCTCGTCTGACGGGCCTGAAAGAATACTGGCGAACGACATGGGGTCTGCGGCTCGGGCGGGCTTCTGTAAGGCAAGGATGGGTTAGTTAGATGGTAAGATATTAAAGGGTTTGGGTAATGCCTACGGCTTCATACGGCGAGGCCGGTCTCGGCTCCCGCATCATCGGAGGTCCATATCCAGCACCATTGCCTCGCATCCGATATGGTGATTCGGACTCTCTGGTGGGAGATTGCGAATGACCTTCTGGGCGGCTGGGCGGGTGGCCATGGGGTGTCGCAGAGCCGTACGGCGAGGCACCGTTGCCCGTGATCACAGAGCTGGAGTAAGGGCGCGGAAGTGGTAACTGAGAGCCAGCTGAATGTCCCTGGTATTGCGAAGACTCCGGGTGAGACGGGTGAGGTGGCGCACTCCCATTTAACGGCGGCGGCAATGTCGATGGCATCGGGGACGCGTGTGAAAAGTGCGGGCTTCGCGCGACGGAGGGTGGGCCAAATGCGGGTGGGGTCTGGGGAGGGTGTTGGTGGTATTGCTGCGGTTGCGGTTGTTCATTGTTTGGATAATACGGGTGGCTCTTATTCGGAGAGGTGTAGGCCGGATACCGCTGCTGCTGAGTCGGGGACTGGGCGTTGTATGGCGGAGGGCCCGTCATGATGGCCGCGGTCCCCGGTTACGGGTCAAGCGCGTCGAAGGTTGGTCACTCGGGTCGAGCTAGAGTCTGGGGAGGGAATTGAGGTAGAAGAGTCCAAGACCCCTACTCAGAGACACCTGTCAAGGGGTTCCGTCGGTCTAGTGACGCGGCGTCAGTTGTCGGTTTCAGGTATGTGTTTCGGAGTGAAGAGGGATGAAAGAGAGAGATGGAGGAAGAAAGCAAGACATAAATACCTGATGGAAGGATGGATTCGTTTGTGGTGGGAAGATGCAGGAAGAAGGGAAGTTTCCGTGGAGCCCAAGAAAGAGAATGCGCGGGTCTAGGCGAGCTGCTGCAGGGGCGATGGGGGGTGAAGGATGAGAAGGGAGAGATGGGGGAATGGGGGAATTACTGGGGAAGAAAGTTGATGGAAAAGACGGGAAAGACAAACAACTGGTCGAGGTAAAAGGAGGAAAAGTGACGAGAGTTGGCATTTCTCGTGAATCTCTTCTTTCGTCTGGGGTATTTCACCTCCGGCATCCCGGGGGTTAAATCCGAACAGGCTGGTTTTAGTGCAAGGAGTTGATTTTTCTATTCTAAATGAACTATGCCAATTGTTTCACATTGTTCTATATCATTTTCCATTTCTGGCTGGCCAATAATTTCAAGGTTGTGCCCCGATCTCACTCAGAGTCCATACAAACACCTCGTGGAGCACAGAGGTGGTGAGAACGAACATCATCAACATGCCATGTTTTTTTCTTCTTTATTTTTACTTCCAATATTTTCAAATGTGTTCAAATATTCCGAGTTCTAAGTTCAAGGATCAACATATTTAGCGAGTCTTCTCCGATTTGACTCGAAATTCGTTCCGAGTTTATCGTGAGCTCGCCTTATCCGCCCTTTTTGGGGAAACGCCAAGGTTCACTGAATTCATGATCTGCCTATTTTACGATTTTACGATTTTACTGGTTTACTACCTTACTATTTTTGGATTTCATACCTTGGTGGAATCAGATATTGATATTGATGAGATCTCCTATACATCCCCTATACATCTATGGATATTACTGGAATCACTAAATAAGGTAAAGTCACTTATATAAAATGTTTTCAAGGTGTCTCTCCGTGGACATCACATCAGCTTATAACTTCAATCTTTCGATTAGAATATAAACTGTTTCATATCTGTAATGTACATCCATGTATTAAATATCTAACCTTATAAGTAATCAGTGAACCTGTAGAGGATACGTAAGCCTCAAATTGTTGGAAGCCTCAGATTATGAATTCCCTCAACACGGGCCCGAGGGGGAACTATTATTATCTGTAGCCCTAGAGGATATATCCTACCTCTACGTAGGTATATGTATTAATTTCGAGACATTTTGTATATCAATCTAATTAAATAGATAATACTTATAGCAACTCCCAATCTCTTAATCTCCCAATCTCCCTATGGCCTGATCCTGGCGATGACGTCCTCCACTAATCTCATATGGTGGCCACATGGTGGACATAACCTTGGAATGGTACAATCGCCTCTTGACATCTTCTGTCATCATTGTGATAATCTTACATGTCGATTTCCAATTATGATTCTATCGTCCTTTTGTCCAAAGGAGGGGGATGCAATTGAGTGGGTTCGTATTGCCTGCATATAAGCTGATATGGAGGGGTTAACCCCTCCCATTCCCCAAATCCTACTAAGGACGTTATAGCAGTATATATAGACTATCAGTATATCCAAAAGAGTTAGTAAAGATCTAGATGTTTAGGAAAGACCAGGGTCTGCATGGTATCTCTGTATACCGCAAACGGGATGCCGAAGTGGATCCCTACCTAATACACCTACGTAGCTAATGTCTGGGACTATTATTCCAATAGTTGTTGGGAATGACACCAGATACCATAGAGCTACCGGTGAACGGGAAAACCGGCGGGATTTCATGATTCCATGGCGAGTTGAATGAAGCCGATGCTCTGATCCCGACGTCAGGCAATCCCGCTTAGCTACTATAAGACCAGCTACTCAACCTAACTTCTCTGTGTTACATTATCACATCTTTTAATCATTTCAAACATCCCACTTAATACTCCTGTTACCTATACCTCTTCCCATCCTTATCCTTACTTCTTTTCTTAATCTTACCCCCCCCCACATTCTACTCAACACCAACATGTCTTTCGAAATCCCCGAAACCCAATGGGCGCAAGTCGTCGAAAAGATCGGTGGACCACCTGTGTACAAACAAATCCCCGTCCCCAAGCCGGGTCCTGATGAAGTCCTCCTGAAGATGAAGTACACCGGCGTCTGTCACACCGACCTGCACGCCATGAACGGCGACTGGCCTCTCGAAGTGAAGAAGAATCTGGTCGGCGGCCACGAAGGCGCCGGAGTTGTTGTCGCAAAGGGATCTCTCGCGCATGGTATCGAAATCGGTGACCACGCAGGCATCAAATGGCTCAATGGATCCTGTCTCCAATGCGAGTTTTGCGAGACTTCCGATGAGCCTCTGTGTCAAGAGGCCCAGTTGTCCGGATACACGGTTGACGGTACCTTCCAACAGTACGCGATTGGTAAGGCAGCCCATGTATTGAAGCTGTCGAAGGATATCCCACTTGATGCTATCGCGCCGATTCTGTGTGCTGGTATTACTGTCTACAAGGGTCTCAAAGAGTCCGGTGTGCGCCCTGGTCAGACCGTTGCTATTGTTGGTGCCGGTGGTGGTCTTGGCTCCCTTGGAACGCAGTATGCTAAGGCTATGGGCTTGCGTGTTATTGCTATTGATGGTGGCGAGGAGAAGAAGGCTATGTGTGAGCAGCTCGGTGCAGAGGTAAGCTCTTATATTCCATTTGTCTACTTTTGGGGGTCTATGCTAATATAGTGTTCAGGTCTACGTCGACTTCACCAAGTCTACCGATCTCGTTGCAGACGTCAAGGCTGCTACTCCCGGTGGCCTAGGTGCCCACGCCGTGCTCTTGCTTGCTGTCTCCGAAAAACCTTTCCAGCAGGCTGTCGAATACGCTCGCTCTCGTGGTACTATCATTGCCATCGGTCTTCCCGCTAATGCCTTCCTCAAGGCCCCTGTTTTCGAAACTGTTGTCAAGATGGTCACAATTAGGGGCAGCTATGTCGGTAACCGCCAGGATGGCGTTGAGGCCGTTGAATTCTTCGAACGTGGCTTGATCAACGCTCCCTTCAAGACGGTTCCTCTGAAGGACCTTCCTGAGGTGTTCGAGCTCATGAGTAAGTTTCCAATGTTTCGATTACTTGATAATGACCATACGCTAATACATGCAACACAGAACAAGGCAAGATTGTTGGCCGCTATGTCCTCGAGATCCCTCAATAGATGAATCGTTATCGTCCATTGGGCGCGAGCGGATAGAGCCGGAGAGGAATTGCTTTTGAGAAACAAAGAACGAAGAAGAAACGAAATTTGATGTCCATAGCGACAGTTTTTTTTTTTTAGCCCTGGTGTAAGGGTGATTAGCGACGATTGAAAGGCGAATTTGAAATCTGAAATCTGAAATCTCCAGTGTCTCCGTAACTAATGGGTGTAGGGTAAAACCCTTCACTTCTTGTGGTCATTGGCTGTATATGAACTTAGTATATTGATATGAACATAGGCTCGTCTGACATGCTCTAGGTCCTACCCAAAAAGCCACAACGTCTATATATATCTTCTCAGCTATTTAGAATCCTGCTCCAAATTCTTCCCCTCATCCTCGGGACTAACAGTAGTCTGAGGTCCCCTATACGTCTTTCTCGCATGGATATAGTAATAAACCACCGCTCCAAGCCAAAGACTCCCATTAATAACAACTGTATAATTCATCGTTTGAGCTTCAAACACCTAGTCAGCAAAAGCACTTCGAAATCGATAGGATATTGTAGTGCAACTCACGCGTCGGATTCGGTCCCTCGGTAGGAATCATAGTAAGAACAATAACGAACATCATGTAGATGACCGCAACCCACCCAATAGGCTTACTGAGATACTTCCCGGTATAGAACTCACCGGGGATAAAGCTGTCACCGCCCCAGAGCAAACGCGCCAGGATGGGAGTTAGCCAGGCGAGGTCATTTCCGGCTACGGCAAGCGAGAAGAGGGCGCTGGCAGCGGCTTCGTCAATCAGACAGAGGAGGCCGATCAATACCGATGCCGCAACGATGCCGCACACCATGCGGACTGGCTGGTAGCGCATGTATTTGCGCTGGCTTACTTTACGGAAGAAGGAGGAAAAGGGGAGGGCGCCATCGCGGGAGAAGGCCCAACTTTGGCGGGAGGCAGCTAGGACCTGTGTGGATAGAGTTAGTGGACGGCTTATAGGGTTTGGGTGTAAGTTGACAAATGAGGAGTAACTTACGATACTCAGTCCCATGAAGAATTGAACGAGCATCACCACGACCATGAATCCCATGGCTCCATTTTTGCCGAGGGCGTCGTAGTAGATCTATAGTGGATCCAACAGAGTTAGAAAGTACATTCCAACATAGAACAACAACAGAAGAAGCAAGACAAAACAAACCTGAGTCATAGGCTGACCAAACTTCGAGTTCAAAATCCCCTCGATATTCTTATCCATCGAAGACGCTATGACCGCCAACGAAACAAACCCAAGAAGACCACACAATCCAGCCGAAGAGATAATCCCCAGCGGGACAGCGCGCGCAGCATGTGTCGCCTCCTCACTCATATGCACGCAAGAATCGAAGGCGCCAATAGTCCAGATAGGTGACAGCCACGCCATGATAAATGCCCAGCCGGTAGGCCAGGTCGTGAGGTTCTGGATTTCACCGAAGACATACGAGCCTGAGTTGACTGGTGGGCTGTTGTTTGCTTTGCCGATAGGTAGGGCGATGACGGTTGCGACCACGAGAGCGATGTTGAGGAAGATACAGGCGGATTGGATTCTTGGCATCATCCGGGCGAAGAAGATGGCGATGAAGCCGTGTGCGAAGACTGTTGCTGCGTATGTGCCGTAGATGACTGGTCTTGATGCGGACCAGTTTCCGTCGCGGGCGAGCGAGATTACGGAGAGGAGCATGCTGGCGAAACCATCTAATGGGTGTGGTGTTAGTGGTGGAAGGGTTTGAGTAAGGTTGTGGGTGGGCTGACTTACAGTCAATAGAGCATATACCTCCGATCAAGCCGATGGTATTGCTATAGCCGACGAGGAAACTGAGCGGGTTCTTCCATTTCTCAGATGCGAAGTAATGTGTCCAGAAGTAGAGACCGCCTGCTGTGGGCATTGCGGATGCTATATCGGCCTGGTGGCTATTAGTTCTGTGAATTTGGGAACTGGAGATTGAATAAACCATACCATTGCCAAGCTGACAATAAAGATAAAACAACTTGCAACCAACCATCCTGTTCAATGAAGCTGTCAACAATTGCTAGGAATATACTCCTGAAACGATATGTGCATACCCTATCCATTCTGTCAGTCATAATTCCAACTAATTTCAGCCTGGGGAAGTATATTACCCAAACCATTCCCACCGGACCAGCGGGCATAGAAAACGCCAACGTAGACGCAATGGAAGGCAAAAGCCCCATAATACTGAAAGCGACAGCGAAAATCTGAATCGTCGAATAATGGCGTCGCAATTCCTGCTTGTACCCGAGTGTCGCTGTTTGATCGGTCAGTGACAACGATCGCATATGGTCACACAAGGCCTGTCAATAAGCCGCACGATATACACACCTAGCAGCTCGGTATCTCCAGCTTGGGGCTTCGAGTCATGACCCGTGGCTGTCGATTGACGTCTCTTGCTCGTCTTCGACGCCACTTTCTCCATCACATCATCCATATTTAAGGTAGGTATAATTGGTATCGAGGGAATGAGATAGTGGATAGGTAAACAAATGGTCAACGCGATCGAGCACGCGACACCTAAGATTTAATGGAAATGGAGACCTCAGATGAAAGAGGAAGGGGAGTCCTGGGTCTTAAAATATTACAAGAGACTCGAGTACTATAAGCACTGAGGCAAGAGGTAGATAGGAGGTGCAGTAAGCGCAGATCCTTGCCATGTGTTCAAGGTCTATATGTAGATATAACCTTTTAAATACCTTCCGATGAATATGATAATAAATAGATTTTATAGGAAATCTGAGGGGATACATGACACAATCTCTTATCTTTTCAAGGAAGATCTACTTGGGTTAGAGGCGGCTGGTTTAGCGGAGCGGGGGGGCGTACGACATTGTATATCTCAAAACGTTCCCCTTTCCCCTTTTGGGATCATCCCTTGCTGCCTTTTGGTAGCTGGGTAGAACTCAGCACGCCGAAGCCCTAACCTGATAGGTTGGTTGCCTAGGTGATGATTATTTGCATAGATTTGCATAGATTTACCACTGTCGTCCAAAAAGATTATTATTTGGTGTGTTGAGTACGTCTTTCCATTACCTCGATATTTAAGAAATCCATCGCTGCTCGGAAGGCTCCAGGATGTACTCAACGCATTTCACCAACTACGAGCTTCAGACGTTAGAAGTTCAAATATGGTCTTGGCAGTCTACTATAAACTAAGTCTAATTTAAATTAGCTAGAATCAAAGGTCCCCGCTTCCTTCTCAATGGTTCCCTTCGTGTGAATAGAACAGCCATGGATATATATCCCAATGCAGTCATACTTCCCTCGAATTTCATAGCCCTGGATTCATAACTCTGATAGGTGCTTCCGGTATTAAGGATTTTCTAGCGCAAGTAGCAGAAAGAGCAAGCCTATGAAGCAGACCAATGCTCATCCTCAATTGCAGTGGTATCAACGCCGATGGTGATGTATCCGATCAATCCCTTAGTGAGGTCATCATCATCCACAGGAACCACAGAGACGACCGGGTTATAACCATTCGCTTCACCCTTGGAGAACTCCATATCGACATCGTTCTGGGTGCGGTTGATCTGCGTATGAGAGGCATATGGTTGGAGAGCCATAACCTTCTTCTCGAGTTCCTCCTCGAAATACAGTTGCCCAGTGCTCACGGTGTTTTCGAAGACGAGAGTGCCATTCTCCTGAGTGGTCCAGTCTGTATGGACCTGGACATGAATGTGAATAGCCCTTTCGATGTAAAATCCTATTGTCGCGTCAGTGAAAGGTCGCAGAAATGACTAATAATTAGAAAAGTAAACACACCTGGGAAAATGGTCTTCATCTGCATCATCCCATGCTTATCGGTTGGCCACATTCCTCGCAGCCAGGTTTGCGAGTCGGTGTGGATATCAGTGGTGCCAACCTCAAAGTCTGAAACATTTTTCCCAAGTTCAGACAGAAGTGCCGGGAATTTGGTATTTGGGGACAACTCAGTAAAGCTTGAATAGCTTCCGGTGGCATTGCAGTGCCATAGGTCAACCATCGCACCTTCCAATGGCTTGCAGGTGGCCATATCCAAAACTCCAATGTCCAGCCACAGAGGGACACCATCCTGGGTCTCTGTCATATCTTGACGGATAGTTTGAGAGTGCGGCCAGTAGTAGGGGCCAGCTGTAATTGCAGGACTAAGAACGCAGGTATCATTCTGGATCGTCTCGTAAAGAGGGGCTTGGGTTTGGATCTGAACAGTGGTATTGCCTCGAGCGTGGGGATTGAAGTCACGCTTCATACGTCGCTTGTTGAAGTGAGCAACATGTTCCGAGCAACGAGCAGATAAAGAGGCTTTGCGAGAAAATTCCTTGTCGGTTGGTAGCCGGTGAGGGCCTTCGTGTGCAAGGGCAAAGAAGGCCAGGGTTGCCGTTGAGAAGAGAGTCAAGAAGCGCATCGCTAACGAATTCGTAAGAAATGGAAAGTTGATGATAAATAAAAAGCTGATCGAAGGGCATATGTACCCATCTATCAGAAGGTAGGCTCCTTTTTATAATGCAGCGTTGTTTCACCTGACTATGCTTTAAATATTTTTAGTCGGTATTTCGACTTCACCATTCTACATCAGAGTATACGTATTATTCAGGGGTTCATAACGGATCCAACGCCATACACTCGATTTCTAATCGGGCAATAATCAGGATTCAAGCTACTGTAAGTGAATCATTGAGCCCCACAGTTTATGTCTATCAAGGCGTTATGCCTAGATGAAAAAGGCACAGTACTTGATGTGCGACAATACACTCGTCTAAATATGCATATCCTTGACAGGATCCTTATGCAGATGTGCATTAGCTGATAGGGTAGAAATCGAGTCAGAACTAGTTCAGCTTTTGGTTAATTAATCCCAACCTTTGGCGATATCCTTCTAGTGCCTCTCTCTTTCGACAGAAATCTTCGAAAATTCCCAAAATAGTATTGACCAGCCGTGTGTAAATGTTGATCGACTCTGAAACAAACTTATTAGGTTTGATTATTGAGAAAAATCGTGAGGTGATTAGATCCATGCTTAGTATTAGACTCGCTCCTCCCGGTATACCCCCGGACGTTACCCGGTTTTAATTCTGTTAATCTATGCAGATCTTCCCGCCAAAACGACAATGTGGCCATAAGATATCTTGGTACCTCTCTGGAGCGTCTACCTCTGGGGGTTTTCGCGGGATTTGACATGTATAAGAATCTCTAGAAGACTTATATGATATGCTCCCACTTGTAGATTTTGGCCTAAAATTTGTCTAATTGGGCTGACTCGAGAGGCGAGGATTGAAGTTCACCTACCACTATAACTAGGGGCAAAAATATGATTTATGAACATACTGGTGGGCGGAGGTATAGACCATGAATCTACTTCATCGATGCCCTACAACTAAGATACTTCTGGAGGGAATTTAACTTTTGTCATGTTTGAAGATATCGTGGTTTTGTTAAAATTATATCATTCAGGGTCACGGCATAGGATATCAGTAGGCAGTATTGTGTTAAATCTGAATTGCCAATTCGTCCCAATAATGTCGGGGGAAGAGCGGCCCCGTAGTGTTGGAAAGGTTTCCACTGCCATTAACTCTACCTTACGGCCCCGGCGTCGGGGGTAGCCTCCAAGGCTTAGGAACCCGCTTAGTGAGCCAGCCAATGATTATGTAATACTCATCAGCATCCAGGGAATTGCTACAGACACGGCACGTTTTGCTAGTAGCAGGGAATTGCTACAGACACGGCACGTTTTGCTAGTAGCACGGCACATTAGGTAATATTCCCTTTACATAATCAATTTTGACCGAGATCGTTACCATACATTACCACAGCAACTACATTACTTACTACTGTAGCAACTACATTCTATCTACTTCTGCTATAAGAACCACTCTATCTTCTCATTGATCTTACTTCATCCAATTGATCTTACTTCATCCAATTGATCTTACTTCATCCAATTGATACTTGATTTCACCTAATCATGGAGCCACCAATTGAGCAAGTCTTTGAGACTAGAGAGCAACTCCTTACTTCGATACGACAGCATGCCCTATCTCATGGTTATGCTATCACTATCATCAACTCCGCTAAGGAGAGGAATATTTGTCTTGGTTGTGATAGAGGCGGTATATACCATGATCATATTGATGCCCCAGAAGGGGCAAAACGCCGGAAGACAAGTACTAGACGGATGAACTGCCCATTCCGCCTTTATGCAAAGAAGCTTGTTGATACTAATCAATGGGAAATCCAGGTAAGAAATCCTAATCATAATCATGCAGCTACTAATAATATGATAGGGCATCCTATGGCAAGGCGTCCACAGCTTACTAAAGATCAAAATCAAACTATTGAACATCTATCAGATATTGGATCTCGACCGCAGCATATTATAAGTCTATTAAGAAAGGATCAACCTGATATCTTAATAAGACCAAAAGATATTTATAATATAAGAGGTAGTATAAGACAGAAAAAGCTTAGGAATCACTTACCTCTTGAACTTCTTCAACAGATATTAATTCAGAATCAATGGAAATATGCATTTAAACAAGATATAGAAGGTCATGTTCAATTTTTTATGTTCGCTCACCCTGAATCAATTAAGTATGCTAATCAATATAATAGGGTCTTTTTATTAGACTGTACTTACAAGACGAATCGGTATAAGATGCCTCTTTTACATATTATTAGTCTCTCGCCATCGAATTCATCCTATAGTATTGCTTTCTGCTTTATGCAAAATGAGCAGGAAGAAAGCTATAAGTGGACTTTACAGACTTTTTTTTCATGGCTTGACCCCTTACCCTTTTCTCCAGTTCTTTGCACTGACAGAGATCTTGCTTTATTAGGTGCAATTAAATCTATCTGTCCTAGAAGCCCACATCTACTATGCATTTGGCATATTAATAAGAATGTGCTGGCAAAGACAAAGCAATATTTCTCTTCAAATGAGGAATTTGAGGCTTTTATCAAGTCATGGAAAGAGCTAATTAATTCATCAAATATTGATGAATATAATGCTCAATTAGCTAAGTTCACAACGCAGTTTAATCAAATTGCCCCTAATGCTCTTAGATATATTCAAAGTACTTGGCTAACCTATAAAGAGATGTTTATTAGGGCTTGGGTAGGGCAATATCTTCATCTTGGTAACTGGGCTACATCAAGAGTGGAGGGGTCTCACGCTTTTTTAAAAAAGTATATAGGGGGATCTTCAGGTGATATGCTTCATGTTTTTGAGAGAATTAATAATGCTTTACAGGCTCAGTATCAGCGACTTGAATCTGATCTTGCAGAAGATAAGATTAAGAGACTAAATTTCTGCTCCCACTTTCTCTATTCGAATATTATAAAGAGAACATCACGATATTCAATATCTTTGATCTCTAATCAAGCTGCTATAGCTAAGAGAGCTACCCCCGAAGCACCTTTATCAAACTGCACTAATATATTCACTAGGACAATGGGCCTTCCGTGTGCCCACCGAATCGCTAGTTTATTAACAAAACATCAACCAATCCCACTAAGCGATATCCATCAATTTTGGAGGATTGGCCTTAGTAATGAGTCATCTATGTATCTGCCAATACTAGATCCTCTATTACCACCACCAACTCGCAGATCAGCTCAAGAGAACATATCAGATCAAAACATCAAAACATCAAACCAAAAGGTCACTAAGAAGAAAGCACCCTCGAAGTGCTCAAATTGTGGAGAAATTGGCCATACAATCCGCTCCTGCAGAGTGTGAAAAGCATGTAAATAAGATGAAAAGCACAATAAGATTGACTAGAGAGAATTGATTCATGGTCGGGTTCTTATAGTAATGAAGCAGTAGTAGATAGAATGTAGTTGCTACAGTAGTAAGTAATGTAGTTGCTGTGGTAATGTATGGTAACGATCTCGGTCAAAATTGATTATGTAAAGGGAATATTACCTAATGTGCCGTGCTACTAGGGGAATTGCTACAGACACGGCACGTTTTGCTAGTAGCACGGCACATTAGGTAATATTCCCTTTACATAATCAATTTTGACCGAGATCGTTACCATACATTACCACAGCAACTACATTACTTACTACTGTAGCAACTACATTCTATCTACTTCTGCTATAAGAACCACTCTATCTTCTCATTGATCTTACTTCATCCAATTGATCTTACTTCATCCAATTGATCTTACTTCATCCAATTGATACTTGATTTCACCTAATCATGGAGCCACCAATTGAGCAAGTCTTTGAGACTAGAGAGCAACTCCTTACTTCGATACGACAGCATGCCCTATCTCATGGTTATGCTATCACTATCATCAACTCCGCTAAGGAGAGGAATATTTGTCTTGGTTGTGATAGAGGCGGTATATACCATGATCATATTGATGCCCCAGAAGGGGCAAAACGCCGGAAGACAAGTACTAGACGGATGAACTGCCCATTCCGCCTTTATGCAAAGAAGCTTGTTGATACTAATCAATGGGAAATCCAGGTAAGAAATCCTAATCATAATCATGCAGCTACTAATAATATGATAGGGCATCCTATGGCAAGGCGTCCACAGCTTACTAAAGATCAAAATCAAACTATTAAACATCTATCAGATATTGGATCTCGACCGCAGCATATTATAAGTCTATTAAGAAAGGATCAACCTGATATCTTAATAAGACCAAAAGATATTTATAATATAAGAGGTAGTATAAGACAGAAAAAGCTTAGGAATCACTTACCTCTTAAACTTCTTCAACAGATATTAATTCAGAATCAATGGAAATATGCATTTAAACAAGATATAGAAGGTCATATTCAATTTTTTATGTTCGCTCACCCTGAATCAATTAAGTATGCTAATCAATATAATAGGGTCTTTTTATTAGACTGTACTTACAAGACGAATCGGTATAAGATGCCTCTTTTACATATTATTAGTCTCTCGCCATCGAATTCATCCTATAGTATTGCTTTCTGCTTTATGCAAAATGAGCAGGAAGAAAGCTATAAGTGGACTTTACAGACTTTTTTTTCATAGCTTGACCCCTTACCCTTTTCTCCAGTTCTTTGCACTGACAGAGATCTTGCTTTATTAGGTACAATTAAATCTATCTGTCCTAGAAGCCCACATCTACTATGCATTTGGCATATTAATAAGAATGTGCTGGCAAAGACAAAGCAATATTTCTCTTCAAATGAGGAATTTGAGGCTTTTATCAAGTCATAGAAAGAGCTAATTAATTCATCAAATATTGATGAATATAATGCTCAATTAGCTAAGTTCACAACGCAGTTTAATCAAATTGCCCCTAATGCTCTTAGATATATTCAAAGTACTTGGCTAACCTATAAAGAGATGTTTATTAGGGCTTGGGTAGGGCAATATCTTCATCTTGGTAACTGGGCTACATCAAGAGTGGAGGGGTCTCA